AAAAGGGTATGAAAGCAGAAGAAAAACTGAGAGCAAATACTCAGAAGGAGAAAGATCAGTGGTGCCAGAGGACTAATGAAGGCTCTCAGTGGGCTGTCCAGGCCATGCCCAGGCTCCGTTAAGCCAGAATCTGGGGGAGGCCCCTCTGCAGTCATATATGTTTTTAAAAATACACTGTCTCCTAGGAATTTCACCTAGGTGTGGGGAATCCACAGAACAAATGAGAGATAAAAAAGATAACTGAAAAGTACCCAATGAAACTGACAAATTAGTCATTCAGATAAAAACATCAATGAAACCAAATGTGAAGCAAACCCAAATATATATGGGAAATGTAGCAAATGATAAAAGGTATTTCAAATCTGGAGGGGAAAGATGGATTAGTCAACAAATGACACTCGGGCAAATGGATTTGTAATCTAGAAATATAAATCTAGCTTTGTACCTTACACCTTAATAAATTCTAAGATGGATCTGTTAAATGTAAAATGAGAAACCACACAAGTTCTGTACCAGAAGAAATCACAGGGAATGTCTGTATAATGTATGATGTATATGTATAATAGAATGTGCAATACATAATGTATAATGAATTTCTCATGACACAAAACCCAGAAGCCATTACAGGCTGGTAAGTATATATGAATATATTTTTAAAACTGCATGGTAAAGTCCAAATGAAAGGAAAAAACCTGGAAAACAAATATTTGCAACTTCTAAAGACAAAAGCACCATTTTCTTGAAACTTAAAAGAACTCCTAAAAAACAATAAAGATCAACAATCCAACAGAGATGTCCAGAGGATATGATGAGCTTGCCAAAGATAAAATAAAATTATACTACACTGAGTAATGCTTCTCACCCAACCAAATGGCAAAAATCTGGGTAAGGGATTAGGGGATGACAACTGATCTCCATACTAGTTGAAGGTATAGGAACAGGCACTCACATTGCTGTAGAATTCCAAAAGGTGGATGATCTCAGCAATATCTAAAGTAATTATAGCACAGACCACAGACCACTTCACCCCCCAGCAGCAATCCTACTTCCAGGTTTCTGTTCTATAGATATAGTACTTATTGAAATGTAAAAGCCATGGATGCTGTTTGCTGTATGTAGATGACACATATATAATATGTCAAAGACACGGAATTGTCTGTAATGGTAAAGAGGGAACAAAATGTCCATCAATAGGGACTGATTAAATAGCACGTTTGCACAGGGCAGCCATAAGCTACAACGAAGCAGCTCTATGAACTGATAGGAAATGCTCATCAGGAAGACTACCAAGAAAAAAGGACACAGACCATGTGGAAGTAAGACACCAATTATCTATTTGTTAATACACAGAGTTTCTCTAGAAGGTTCTATAAGCAACAAAGAGGGGAATGAAACTAGATGGCTGGGAAAAGGATAAGAAATCCAAAGGAAGACTACTACCCACCACACTCCTGCACTAAGCACTATTAAATCTTTGTTTCAATTTTCCTTTAAAAAAAAAAATCATCAATCTCAGTAAATAGTTTCAGTATGATCTCTACCACAAGGATTCTGAAACACAAAGGTGGGAGGACACAATTTTCTAAATGTACCGAAAACCAATGAATTATACACTCCAAAAGGGTAAATTTCAATAAAGCTGTTATTTTTAAAACAGCACATTATCATTTACATAGAGAAAAGACTGCCAAGGATAGCTACGCTTTTTCTAAAACTATGGCTTTATATTTACATAAAATGGAAAGACAGAGGTAGTGGTAAGTCTAAACCAATCATTCTTACCATTTTCCATCATGCCTTAAGGAACAGCACACCTACAGCACCTGTCAGCTACTGAGCACAGTAAAGCTCCTACAATTAACCACCAGTTCTACCACTATGAATTCTTCTCTTTCTGAAAGTAAAAATGTCTATTTTACATTCCTTACAATTTAAACTTCTATAAGTCCTCTGAGCAGTAAGAATTTTGAAATAACATAGTAAAGGTTTGAAGAAGCAAATGTAAATACCGTAATGCCTATACATATCAGAAAATATAGTTAAAGAAGTATTGATTTAGGATAAAGAATGAAGCAAAATTTTTATTTCTAAAAGAGAAACAGAAGTGTCTAGGCTCAGAGTTTAAAACAAAACACAACAGCTTACAAAAGAAACACAAACAGCTTTAATGGGGCTGCTTTTCCAGGATTACACTAAATGTAAGATTTAGAGAAACAAAGGCAGCAAAATGCTTAAAGGTTAGATTTCATGAGTTGTCTACTCCAAGCAACAGACGGGTTTATCAATGTCAGGCATCAAATTTAAAGCAGCAAAGGAATAGAAAGTTCAATGAACGTGACTGAAATTAATTTAGGAGTGGCATAGTGGATATAGAGAAAACTAGATCCCATTTGTTTGGAAATATGGAAGCAATGGCACCAAGGTTACTTATTATAATCTCATTATTATTGTTTTTAAATTTCTACTTATTGATTTTTTTTGAGAGAAACATTCATTTGTTGTTCCATTCATTTATGCACTCATTGGTTAATTCTTATATGCCCTGACTGAGATTGAACCTGAAACCTTGGCTTATGGGACAACACTCTAGCCAATTGAGCTACCAGGCCAGGCTTATAACCTCATTAATAAGGGTCAGGCAGAATTCTCCAATTTCCCAAGGGTGAACAAAAATCTCAGCTCCAAGTAACTATCCAAAAATCAAATTTGAGCCAGGACCGGTTTGGCTCAGTGGATAGAGCGTCGGCCTGCGGACTGAAAGGTCCCGGGTTTGATTCTGGTCGGAGGCATGTACCATGGTTGCGGGCACATCCCCAGTAGGGGGTGTGCAGGAGGGGGCTGATCGATGATTCTCTCTCATCAATGTTTCTAACTCTCTATCCCTCTCTCTTCCTCCCTGTGAAAAACCAATAAAATATATCTAAAAAAGCAAAACAAAACAAAAAACAAATTGGAAAACACTGAGAGACAAACATTTTACTATATAACAATGTGCTTTGCTCAAGTTAGCATTTCTCTATAAAAAACCAGAGAAGGCAGAAGGAAGCGCTCACTGCACATCTGCTGGACATTTCACATGTGACATCATATGACCCTTCAAACAAGTCCATGAGGCAGGTAACTTGCCTTGCAAAGGGAAACATGGCAGGAGAGAGGACTCTGGCCAAGGTCACATAGTTGGTCATTTCAATGCTCATTTGGTTAGGAAGGGTAGGGGGATAGATTAGCCCCTTCATCACATCTGGCTTGACAGATTTCTGGCTTGGCAGAAAGGCTCTATTATAAATGATATTTTTGTTCTAGCTTACCCCCCCAAAATAATGATCACCAGCTTCTGCTTTTAATAACGTGATGATGCATCTGCACACACACAAGAGTTGAACAAGACTGGAAATCACAGCCTAGAATTATCTGTGGGTGGCATTTAACCTGAAGATTAATAGCACATGAAGGTGGCCTTTTAGGGGACTGAAACCCATGAATAGGTGATAGTCCATTGGCACCCCAAATTTTACTGAACTCCCAACAGACTACCACATTCCCTGGGACACATCTTTCCCTTTGTTGTGGGGGAATAACATTTTTCTGCCCAGTGCACAATATGGGTGGGATCTGAACACACATTTAAAAAGAAAACCACAGTCTCGGAGATCAATGTCACCAAGAAAAGATAGGACATAGATTAAAACCAATGCAGGGACCACAACCACTTCTTACAGGAAGACATTAAAGAAGAAAAGCCACAGTCCAGGTTTGAAAGAGAATTTAAAACCACTAGCAGCAAATCAGAGAGTACCATTTAACTTAAAAGAGCTTAGGCACTGTCAAAGAAAGATATTCAGCACTACTGGTCTTTGACTGCAATCTCTTGCTTCCCAAAGTCAGTGTGTAATCTAAATACAACACACTTGGACAAAGAAAATCCTTTTTGCCCCCCTCAGGAGCACAATTTTGGCATTGGGTCCCAAGGGGCCATTAAAAACAAGTTTGAGCCCCAAACACTTTGGTTACATAGTTTTGAAACATTTAGACAAAAGTTCACATTTCTAAGTGGTTGACCATGATACCCTTCCTGTTTAATTTGGAGACTAGAGATCTTTAACTAAACTTAGCATTCCTTAGGAGACTGATATCCTCAACACACTCGGGCTCCAAGTCAACTTGGGATTTGTTTCACATTGAGAAATAACGGTTTCACATGCTACTGTTAAACACAAGCATAAACACAGATATGCACGTGCATTCATAAATGCATACACATATTCATAAGCATACACATTCATCAGTGCTATACGTACACTCACAAGCACACTAATACGTGTATACATGTGCTCACAAACGCGTGCCCACTCCGCGGTCCCACCTGCCCATCTGACCGCTCCAGGGGCGACACCTGCCCACTTAGGGGAAACCCACAACGGGGCGCCACTTGACACCCGCGAGTGTCTGGGAGGGTCTAGAGCCTTCTCCGTCTTATACGGCTTCCTTTTCTAGAATAACATCAAGTTTGGAAAAACCAAGACGACTCCCAGTAACTGGGGCCGCAACCTCTGCCTGGGGCTATCTGTTCCTCTAAAGGAGCTCTGAGTGCATGCATCCTTCCACACTTCCCCGGCTAATCCGGGCGAGATGGAAGGATGCAACAAGCCTCAAGGGCGCAAGGTGCTGGACAGGTCTTGGGGTGCAGGATTTGCGGGCGGAAGTGGCGGCAGGGGCTTGGAGTGAGGGCATAGGGGGTACAGGATGGAGGCTTGGGATACAAATTCGGAGTGAAAGCTTGGTTTGCGGCTGCGGAACCGGGATGGAAGCTTGGGGGTGGCAGGTATGAGTTTAGGGGGGTTCAGGTGGGGTTTTTGGGATCTCAAGTGAAAGCTTCGGGAGCGAGTGTTTTCCGTTCAGGGTGGAGGCTTTTGGTGGTGGTGATGGGCGTTTTGGGGAGCGGGTTGGAGGCTTGCGGTGCGGGTGAGGGCGCCGAGCCCGCCTCCCGCGTGGGCACGCACCTTGTGGCAGGACGGGCAGGTGGGCAGCGCGCTCTTGCCCCCGTGGCCCCCGCCGCCGCCGCCGCTCAGGCTGCTCTGAATCTGCGTGAGCTCCTGGCGCAGCACCTGCTTCTGGTGGAAGCTGAAGGCCGGGTGGTTGGAGGCCATGGTGAAGAGCAGTAGGAACTCGTCGCCCGTGCGGCCCTCGTTGAGCTGCAGCCCATAGTTGTGGATGATGGAGTCGATGTGCGTGAGCGTGCGGTAGAGCACGCCGGCCGCCTCGCGCTGCTCCGAGCCCAGCAGCGCCAGCGACACCAGCAGCTTGCTGCGCACCACCTCGTCCGTCAGGTTGGTGAGGCTGCCCAGGTCGGCAGGGTTGTTGGCCTTGATCTCCGAGTCGCGCAGCGAGTGGTAGTCCTTGCGCGCCAGGTCCTCGAGGCAGGAGCCGAGGAAGCGCAACTCGAGCGGGATGCACAGGTCCAGCAGGCCGCACAGGAACTCCACGCGCTGCGGCGACGGCAGCTCCGAGAACCAACGGTACACGCCGTCCCTCTGCAGCGGGCAGCGCTTCTCCACCATGCTGCCGCCCGTGCCGCGCCGCCGCCCGGGGCCGGAGGCCGGAGCCCGGGGCCGGGGGCGCGGGGCGCGGCGGGAACGAACGGGAGGCGCGGCGGGGCCGGGAGAAGGAGGGCGGACGCCGCGGGCCGGACCGGGGGCGCGCGGCGCGGCGGAGACCCCCGCCAGGGGCCGGCGGGCGGGCACGCGCGGGGCGCTGGGGGGGCCCGGGGCGGCCGGGGCGGCCGGGGGCGGCGAGCGGCCTCGGGCCCCCCGCTCACGGGCGGGCTCTTGGCCCGCGCCCGTCCCCAGCGGCGGCCGGTGCGCGGCGGCGGCGGCGGCTGCTCCTCGTCGTCGTCGTCGTCGCCCGGGAGGCGGCCGCCCCCATCTCCCCCCGCGCCGCAGGTTCTGTCACTGCGGGCCGCCCCCCGACGGAGCCGCCCAGGCCATTCCGCCGTCGCCGCCGCCGCGCTGGTGCTGGCTGGCCGTTACTAGGACGGAGGCCGCGGGAGGGCGGGCGGGCGCCTCGGGAGCGGTGATGGACGGACACGCGGGGCGCGGCGCGCAGGCGGACGGCGGAGGGATCTGCGCCGGCACTCGAGCGGCCTCGCGTCCAGGCTCCGAGCGCCGCGGACGGATCCAGGAGAGCGCGGCCGTGTTCGCAGCTGACGGGCGCCGGGACGGAGCTCAAGTGGGCGGAGTAGTTGCCTCTCGCGACAGCCAAGCCGGCAGGGCCCGCCTCCTCCCCCCGCTGATTGGCTCGAACTGCCCCTTCTAAGCCCGTGATTGTTTCGGATCCCCAATCCAGATTCACACGCCCCCGCGACCACGCCCCCCGGGGCTGTCGATCACGTTAGAACCGCCGCGTTCCGCCCCCCCTCGGCTGGCGGAGTCGATTGGTCCGTCGTGCGGGAGCGATGGAAAATCCGGGGCGGATTTATGGTTGCTTTTGTTCCCACAGATTTGCATGGAGCATTGTTTTAGGTAAAAGCTGGGCGTCCGGCCTGCTTTATTCTGGAGCGTCACAATAGGGAGATAGCGGGAGTCTTCGAAAAGCTGCTGGAGCGGGGCTCCGGAGACCCGAGTCCCCATCCCTGCTCTGCCCGCTAAGCTGTGTGACCTTGGGCAAGGGGCTTGGTCTCTGAGCCGTGGGCGCCTTCACAGCAAATGAGGGGAATAATAGCCGCCCCGGCAGGCGGCTGGTGAGCAGGTTGTGAGCTCATAGAGGGCAGGCGCCCTCATTTCGGAGGCTGTTGGCCTGCCTTGGGGATGTGATGGGAACACGCTTTCTCCATTAAGGAAGCCTCCTTTCAGAGGGTTACTGCCTCAGCTCAGGAACCTGGAGGATGCAGATACACCCACCAGGGGTCGGGGAACAGGTGAACCGCCCCCTCACCTGGCATTTGCATTGGCACCGGATTACAGGCTGGGGAAAGGTGGGGCACCCAACCACCTTTAAATTCTGCAACTGCAAGCAGCTACAAATAAGGTAACAGACGCAGGAAAAAGAAATTATTCCTCCGGTGCTCTACCTCTAAAGCCCTTATTTTGATGTCTTGTGATCAAGGATGCGTCTTTTCCCTAAGCAACTTTATGGAGGCCTGGTATATGCCAGGTTCTAAGCCCTGAGCAGGGCAGCCATGAGCAAAGTGCCCTAGAGAGCTTAAAGCAGACATTACAGAACCATAGTTGAGGGAAAAGGAAAATTTGTTTTCCTCACCTTGGACAAATTTTCCCAGAGGCACCCTGGTGTTCTTGGCCAGTGTAGGAAGAAGCAGGAACTCAGGAAAGCTTCCCAAGGGTATTAAATCCATGTAGGTAGCAGGGGCAAGCTGGGTTTCCCCGCCTTATTTCCCCAGTCCAAACTAATTTCTATAAATAATTGAATTAATCCTTGTTCTCTTTTACTACACCTTTTTGAGTGATTCCATAGAAGTAGTCACATTCCAAAATCTACAATATGAGGGAGTGAGGGAACATGATACCTTTGCCTTCTATTGGTAAATGAAGTTCCTCAGAATAGGATCTTATCAGTCGAAACTGGTTTGGCTCAGTGGATAGAGCGTTGGCCTGTGGACTGAAAGGTCCCAGGTTCAATTTTGGTCAAGGGCATGTACCTTGGTTGCGGCCACATCCCCAGTAGGGGGTGTGCAAGAGGCAGCTGATAGATGTTTCTCAGCGATGTTTCTAGCTTTCTATCCCTCTCTCTTCCTCTCTGTAAAAACTCAATAAAATATATATTTTTTAAAAGAATAGGATCTTATCAGCATTGAGGGTTTCTCAAATCCGGTCCAAATTGGCTGTGAAATCCTCAAGCTCTGTTGCCAAGCCAACCTGAATTTCAGTCCCAGCCTTAGCCCACTCTGGGACCTTGGCTGTTCACTCAACCCCCCTGAGCCTCAGTTTCCGCATATGTAAAAGGGAGTCAGGTACTGCCCAGCCCCACCCTCCCAGCTGACAGTGGAGCGCAGAGATGCTAATGGAAGCCATCCCCAGCTAGGACAACTAAGCCACACAAGTCACTAGATCAAGGTCCCCAAGCCCCTGACAGCCTTTTTACCTCTTTTTGCTGTGCTATTTGTTAATGTCTGTACTGGGTTGGATAGTGCCTTTCAAAAGATTATATTCACCCAGAACCTCAGAATGTGATCTTATTTGGAAATATGATCTTTGCAGATATAATTCAGGTAAGAATCAAGATGAGATCATGGTTAGAGTAGGCTCTAAACCCAATAAGAGTGTCCTTCTAAGAGACAGGAAAGAACAAGCAGAGACTCAGAGAAAAGGCCATGTGACGATGGGAGCAGAGATTAGAACCAGGGATACCTGGAACCACCAGAAGCTAAAAGAGCCAGGAAGGATCCTTCTATGGAGCCTTCAGAAGGAACCTGGCCCTGTCCACACCTTGACTTTGGACTTCTGGACTCCAGAACTGAGAGAGCATAAATTTCTGTTTCATTAAGCCACCAATTTTGTGCTTATTTGTTAGGGCAGTTTTAGAATACATTGTATCCTGTCCCCCTCAACTTCAGTTCAGCTCAATTCAATGTAACTCACGGATAATAAATTGTTACCCCCTACAGAATCAGACCCCAATAAGGGTTTGGGAGCCTCTAAAGAGAATGGGATCCAGCCCTGGCAACTTTAAGGAACTGGCAGCCTGAACTCCCTACCCCAAAGTAGACATACTGTGCTCCCTGTCTGCAGGAGCTGTCCATTCTGCCCAGTATTTCCTCCCCCGGGAAGCAGCCAGGGGCCTCCCAGGAGAGAGGGTTGGGCACCCACCTGGAAGTCCTTCTGCACATAATCTCTTAGGCCCGGCCCTGATGCTGTACCTGCTCTCCCTCCCAGCCAGGCTTCCTACTCTAAAACAGATTCCATCTCTGGCCTATTTAGAGCTGCTCATTTTACCATTTTCTGCAAAAAGGTGACCCTGGCTTCAACATTTCTCCACCTCTGCATTGATATAGTGGAGGGGCCGTGGGGCTGTGGGAGGAGGTTGCGCGGAGGGGCAAAGGATAGGTCAGAGGGTGGGGCATTCCTCCCTGTGAGCAAAACTGAAGCTACAGTTAAAAGCTGGGCTGAGGGTTCAGAAAAGGATAGAGTCCTCACACTATACAGAGTGGACAGCAGGTTCACCCCCTTCAGACCTTAACTCGGGGCCAGGTGTTGACAGAGCAGTGGGCCCTGCTGTAGGGGAGCTCATAGTTGAGGTTGGGACAGTACGTCTTTCTGTATTTTCCATAGGGCTGGAATGGAGCATAAATTAATGTTATTTATGAGAAAGAGAGACTTGGAGCTCACCACAAATTCCCCAAAAGATTTTGCAGTGGAGATATGGTGTGCCTAAGTCCGAGTTAGTGATACTGACTAAATTACCACAGTAGGCGATGACAGGGCTGAGACCAGATTGGCCATCTGGATTCCAAGCACAGCCCCTCCTCCTCCTACCATCTCCTCCACCTGCACACCATATAGTTTTACTTTTTACTTTTCCTTTCTCATTTATAGTGGGGAGAGGAGCCTGGAGGCCAGGCTGGGGTCAGGAACATGAAAACATGACTGGGACACAAATTAAAGAGTTGGGGCTGGAGGTGCACACCCAGACTCCCTGCCTGGATCCGCTGCTTATTTTGTCATGGCTGTAGGTCATCAGGATGTGTGTGGTCTCAAGTGGGATGGACTTACCGAGTTTCATTTTTCCTTTGTCCTAGACCCTGCTTTCCTGTGACTAGAGAGCAAAGGGACTCCAAACCACTAATGTGAAAGCCTTAAGAAGTGGGTCCTGGGTGGCTCAGTTGATTGGAAAATCATCCTGTATACCAAAAAGTTGTGGGTTCAATTCCCAGTCATGGCACGTACCTAGGTTGCAGGTTTGATCCCTGTTAGGGGTGCAAACAGAAGGTAACTGATTATCTATCTCCCTTCCTCTTTTTCTAAAAATAAATAAACATGTCTTCGAGTGAGGATTTTTTTTTTTAAAGCAGCATACTGACATGATCCTTGCTCATCTATGAGAGCCTCCTGTGACTGTCATAATCCCATGTGTCTGGTCCTAAAATTATCATTGTTTCCATTTCACAGATGCTCAATAGTCTGTCATGGACCCAGGGCCATACAGTTCATATCAAGTCAATTGCCCAGACTCCGACCCTCCAAGAGGAAAGCACCAAGTTGACCTGTCATTTATTCACTAGTTCTGCAAACCAAAGACTCCAAAGGTGTCTGTCATATGTTTTCCGAGCTGTGACTACTAACAAAGTCCACCCGGAATCACAAATGGGCAGTTGTTTCAAACTGCACCCAACCCTGTTTCTGCACAGCCACATAGTTCTCCAAGCAGATCTGCTTCCCAGGGCGCCTTTGGCCTTGGGATAGATAGATACAGTGCTTTCCCCATGGGAATTAGTTGGGCTCTTATTTAACATGTTGATTCCTAAGCCTGACGCCAGATGCTGAATGAGTCAGACACTGGGGAGAGGGACCGTGGGCTCTGCATTTGTCAGCACCCTGGTGATCCCCAG